GTTTGATGAATGACAGACAAATCGGCAGAAACAATTTGGGGGAAACAAGCTTGGAAAAAGTTAAAAAGAAATAAGAATACAGATAAAACAGAAAGTGATAAGTGTGTGTTGGATTGTATTAATTTCATCCTATTCTTTATTGAATTCAAATTAGGAAGCAGGAATTTTTTTTTGCATATTCTATGGCTTACATGATGTACTCAAACTCTGCTATCAACATAAATTCTGAATAATTTGAAATTTTTGTGGTACTGAAAAGACTTCTCCCCTATTACATCACCTCCAGCACAAGATTTTCAAAGCAAATTTCCTATATGTTTTGTATGCAGTAGGCTTCTGCAGGCATTTTGGGTTCTAGGTGTTGAGATAAAAGTCAAATATCCAGTAGGTAGCGACACAATAGTGTGCCCCTTTCTCAAGTGATTTATTTTACTTGAACTTGAAAAGTACCACCTGCAAAATGCCTGTTTCCCAAGAAGACTGTTATTCCACCTCTTCTTTTTCATGACATTAATTTCTTCTCTTATTTTTACAAAATCATCATTAATAGGATGTGAACATAGTTTTTGCAAGACAGTGTGACTCACCACAACTTCTAGCAGGATTTCTGCCTCCACTGACCATCACATACACTCTCTCTCTTTTTTTTTTAAAGGGCTATTAAAATATGGACAAATATATATTTTTTCAAATATATTTATATATATGAGATGGATCCAAAGGAGGGGACAAAGACTGCCTGAAGTATCATTCTTAGCCAGGGCAAGAGTACCACTGCACGCCCAGGAGGGGATGGAACTGCGGTAGATTTGTGCCATTGCAAGTTGTATCCCAGCATCCTGTTGGAGCCAGAGCACAGGCTGGAACTTATAAAAGTCATTAGTTGGACTAGAGCTGAGTAAGAGTTTGAGCAGGGGATGTATATAAATTAGAGCTTGTGTTTGCTTCAGATCCGAGATGTGTACAGAGCATTACCATCTTCCTGTAAGAAGGGTATAATTTATCACACATACCTGGATGCAGCCCTGATGTAAATCATGCATGCAGACACACAGGACATACTGTAATCTGGTAGGACAGATATCATTCAATGTCTCCAGGTAAATAGCATGGGAGTTTTCCCCATTTATTTAGATTTATTTAGTTTGTTTAGATTTGGTAATAAGTAGCTCTTATGAGTTTAGACCCACAATGTTGTGGATGTCTATTTTATACAAAACTTCTCATTTGAGATTCTCCTCCTTTAAAGCTGTCTGAAGTTAAACTCATTCTTCTAAAGCAGTAATACGTATAGGTAGTACACAACTGTAATCCTTCTATCTATGTATATCTACCATATATATATATATACTAGATATATAAAAGGTATATACTTATACCTTTTATCTATATGCCAATATTTAGTCATCTTGAACTACTTTATAGCAGATTTATGTAGCTAAACCAAGGTTATTTTGATACATTACATGAGTATCCAGGTGTATTTTTATATTAATGTTTTATTATTTATTCCCTGAAAGATATATTGCTTTTGGCTTCCTTAATTTTGACACCCTAACCCAGCAGCAGCCTCAAACCTCTGATCACTTACATTTAGTTGGCTTCTTTCTAAATATTTTTAGAGTTTTATTGGCTTTAATTTTATGCATCCTAGTTCAGTCTATAAAATTAAAACATTAATAACTGTCTGTGAGTGTTTAACCACATGAATTCTTTTTTTAAATGAAGCTGTTCATTAAACTAAGTGATTTGCACATTGCATGGCATGCTACTGTGAAAGAGAGAAAGACTCATTCATATATGATAGTGCTCATCCTATTATGCCTGAGACTTGTGTCAGCACTTCATTTGCAAATTCTATTTTTACTAGTTCAGAGCTCAGCTTTATAATCTTTCTGTGGGCTGAAACTCAAAGAAGAATAGCTCCACTTCAGACTCCATTTGAGCTCCAAATTTAAAATAAAATCGAGTTCACCATTTCCATAAACCTTTTACACATGCGTGACAGATCAGGCTGCACTCTCGCCAGCTCACATAAGTTAAGCAGGGTCAAGTCTTTGAGGATAAGATGTCCTGGAAAATCCATGAGATTCTTTATCTTTCTTTTCTGTGGAGGTGGTAAGGCACTGGAACAGGTTACCCAGAGAAATTGTGGATGCCCTATCCCTGGAAGTGTTCAAGGCCGGTTTGGATAGAGCTCTGAGTAACCTGGTCTAGTGTAAGAGGTCACTGCCCACAGCAGAGGGATTGGAACTAGATGATCTTTATGGTCCCTTTCAATTCATACCACTTTATGATCACATGATTTCAAGATCACACTTTCACTGCACTCCATGTTCAAGAAATAGATGCGTTATGTTTTCTATTTACTTTATTTCTTTCCTAATAATTCCTAATATTCTTTTTCCTTTCTGACATTAATGAACATTGACACTTTTTCATTAAACTATCCATGAAGATATTTTGAGTCATAACATTAATACTACCATAGAATCATTTAGGTGAGAAAAGTCCTTTTTAATCACTGAGAGATCAGACCAAATGATGTTGCTAGGGAACATCCCACAAACACTGCAACGTTTATCTCTAGTGACCCTGATTTTGTTCCTTTCCTCTCCCTTAAAGCTCTTTCAATGAACCCTGCTAAGTCCTGTGTAAAGATTCTTTTTCTATCTTGGAGACAGGTATATCCCACCAGTTAACTGCATGCCTGGTGTCATGTAAACTGACCCACGATCAAACCCCACAAATTTCTGCCTACCTGAAAAATCCATAATAGACAATAATCTCAGGGCCTTACCAGGGCAGGAAGCTTTCTCTTCACATCCTCAACCCAGGTCCCAGGGAGGCAGAGGACTTCCCTTAGAAGTGGGTCTGCTCTGCATATTGGACAATATTCAGTTATGAGTTCATCAATTTCTTTATGTTGATTCAGCTATTCCTGCATTGAAATGGCAGATTAGGTTCATCATTTAGTAACAGAGATCTTTCTGCAAGACTTAATAATCAGGTTTGGTTTTTCATTGCCTAGAATAATTGTTATCTTTATCAAATTATGTCATTTCACTATTCATATCCACTTTCAAATTACTAAGGAAGATATGGAAGAATAAAGAAATATGAAATGATCCACCACTGATTATTTCAGGACTCATTGGTTACTTGAGCCCACCACGTGTTACTCAACTTTTTCCCCTGTCTTTTAATTGGTTATTAATTCTTCATTTGATCTTTGCTTCTATTAATTTAGTTTAGCCAAGAGTTTTAGGAAGGCACCATGTCAAAATCATTTTTGAACATCCTAATTCCTGAGAACCACCAGGTCACCTTTTTCCATTCTCCTCCTGTGAGTTCAGGGAGGCTTAATAAAATTGCACAGATGTAACTTCATTCTTGCAAAAGCATTGCTGACTGTACAACCCTCGTATCATATTTGTCCATATGTCTTATAGCTCCATTTTTCATTATGTTTTCTTCCAATTTATCCAGTAGATAAATCAGATTTTCGCGTCTATTGCTCTTGAATAGTCTCTCTTTCCCCACAACATAAAAAAGAAAAAAGTCACACTGCATATACAGTCGTTTGTTCTTCAGGTCCTGAGGCTGATTTGAAAGCAACAGAAACCATACAAAAGTTAATAGGTCAAGGAGAATTTTATTAGTTTTGTGCATATACTGTCCAGAATGATAAGTAGTTACTACTTTCAAACTTTTGCCATCAATGCTTAAATTTAAAACAATTTCAGATTCAATGCCACTAAAAATATCAAGCTAGTAACAACTACTTTCCAAGAGTAGCCCTTTCATTTCTTGACAATTTTTTAACCATATAAATTCTGTAATGCTTAATATATTTGAAAAAGATGTTTTACTTATAGGGTTTGGTGGGTTTTTTTTCTTTTAGTAATTTTTTGCTTTCCTTTCTAAAGAATTGCCATGTTAAAGATTTAACTTCCTGGTTTGCCTTTTATTGTTTCTTTCAGTTGGACATATCTGTTATCATAAGATCTTATGTTTCCAATATCTTTATTTTCCCTTCTGTTAAAGATACAAGTTTTTCCTCTACATCCTTTTCCTTCTTCTGTTTGTGTAGGGAATACATCTACTCTGAAAATACACTGTCAAATCTTTAAATGAATGTGCTGCTGCAGCTCTTCCAGCCTTTTGAACAGGTATTTTAACAAACTGCCTCATTTTCCTCTCTGAAGTGAAATATTGTCATAGTGGACACTTTCCTTTTCCACAGGGATTTTAAAAGTAGATACCATCTGGTCACTTCTAGAGAGAAGCAATGTCTTTCTAAATGCTGCTTAGGTGTTTTCCTTTTGACCTATTTCTATGAGAAGCTTTCTTTTAAAATGTAGCCAATTTATGTGGCAATGATCAAAATCTCTTGTTACCAGCAAAAATTCTATTTTTTGGAATTCTGCCCACTACACTCCTAATAGGGTGATTAGTAACTCTATACATTCTTGTATTACTGCTGCTGCACTCCTCTAAGCTATCCCTGGATCTTTAGGCTCATATAAACACTTGTTGATATTCCTCAAGTATTCTTCAATCCATGCTTTTTTCGTTTCTTCATCTTTTGGAACCACTCCCCACAGTCTACTTCAGTATTTATAAGTGTTTTACTCCACAATATTTACGTGATTTCAGAGATTATAATTTATTTTTCACCAAATTCTTTGCATGTCCAATGTAACATCAGCTTTATCTAAAACCAGGCTTTTCAGTTAATTCCATTATTTCTGGATTCTGATATTTGTGCAGAAGTACATGTTCATTTGATCTTTTATTTTTATTTCTCTGTGGCTGTTAAGTATTCACCACAAGAAATTTATTGATTTTGGCTCTATCTTTTGTTGTTATACATAATTTTTATTTTTTTTTTAAATTAACATACCCCTGGAGAATGAAACAGTTGCTGACTTTCAAGCAGTTTTTATTTTAATGATTAGATCCAAAGGTTTCCTAGTTTGACATGCCAGAAGCCTTATTTCATTTTAGCTTTAGTGAATCCAGTCATTCCTCCATAGGTTTTCTCTATTTCTCTTGGGGTTTTTTCCTCCTGCATATTTTTCTCAGCCATGGACCAACATTTTTCTTCTCTTGGAAACCTTCCAGAGAAATGGTGCAGTACTTCATGGAAATCTTGATCTTAGTTTGTACTTGACGGTTTAATTTACTTTTTTTTTAACAAATGCAAGCTCAAGATTCAGGTGAAGGACTCATAGAACCATCTGTAAGAAAGGACCACTTTAATGAAATATTTAGAAGAGTCCTAATAATTATTTTTCTTTCTGAAACATTCACCAAAATCAGCACTTTACTGCAAAAGTTGTCTCCATTGGAAGATCCTAATTTGCTGAAATTTTTAGTAGAATAATTCCTGACAAGCAACAGAGGTATTATCACAGCTTCAGGTATGAATGTAAGAAAAGAAAAAGTAAAGTCACAGAGAACAAGTTTTATAACCTTTATATGTAAAAAAGAGTGATTATAGTAGTTGAACAATTATAGTCACAAGGTTATCAAAGTTTGCGTGCTCATAAGTACTCTTAAATGTTAGTCTTACTAATGGAGGTGTAGGACTACTGACACAAGTAAAAATAAGTATTTGATGTAGAACTGGAAATTATATCACAAATAGAATGTTTTCAAATTTAAGAATATGACCTATGTTGCTATTTTTTTGACTACAATTTTTCCCCCTTATTATTATATCTACTCTAGAAGGGTCCAATTTTCAATTCTAAACCTAAATTTTCAAGAATTATTATTTTTTTAAAAGACATTGAGGACAAATTAATCACATGGACTTAAGAAATTGTCATAAACCCCTGAAGGGTTTGATTTTTCATCTAAGTACACCTTCACAAAGTGTACTTTAACAAACCCTTCACAAAGATTTCCAAGAACCTTGCAGACAGGCTACAAAATTTAAGGACTGCACACGGAAGTAAAGCTTTCTGAGTCCTTGAACACCACCTGGTTTCAAAGTCTGACTATTTAACATAACCTGATTAACCATGCTGCTGTTTTGACACTGCCAAAAAGTAGAAACCCACAAACCCACAGATCTCAGAAGTTCGTAATAGAGGCCTCCAAAATACAAGAACAGGATGGTACCAGAGTCACCAGCTGTATAAAAAAAATCACAAAAGACTGTCACTAATAGCTGCACCACAGAGTAGTTTTGGTTTTAGAGTATAAGTGGCAATTGAAAAGAACTGTGTAACAACCTCTTGATGGTCATTGTGATTGATAGCATCAGCAGAGGCATTTTTGGGGTGCACTTGGGAGGGAAGGGAGAGGAGGAAGGAGAGGGAAAGGAAGGAAAGAAGAGGGAAGGGTGAAGAGAGGAAGGCAGAAAGGAAGAAGACAGAGATGAGACTGAATTTGCAATGGTAGGGCTCATTTCTGAATTATCACCATGTTTCTGAGTCTCCTCTGAGGCTTTAAGAAAGTCAGGTATAAGGCACCACTGCTGGTGGTGGTGTCAGAGTTTTGTCCTACACATTGCTTTGCAGTCAGAATATGCAACAAAGAAAGCAGATTTTTGTCAGATTTCTGGCTTTGGTATTCACTGCACAAAGCATGCATGGAGGTATGAAAGTCAGAGGGGGTTCGTGGAAACAGAAGGGAACTTATATTTCTTGAACAGAAAAAAATCAAAATTTGTGCTGGTACAAATGTTTTTAATAACAGCTTTCAAAATTCTTACAATGTTTTTGTTAATAAATCTGTACAGATTGAAAAGTTAGTTACCTTACTAAAAAAATAGTGTAGTTGTTCCTATCTCAGTTTTCAAACTGTAATTATTTTGCACTTGTCTAGTTTTACACTAAGGCATCTAAAAACAAGTCTTTCAGAAATGGAATTACCTACTTAAAAGAAAGTATTGTTAAGACAATCCTGAAAGCTTTAGAAAATCCTTCCTGTACTCTAATTTTTAAGAAAGAAAAAAAAGACAGAAAAAACTAAGTAACTTTAGATTCCAAGCAATAATTTAATGTCAAAGGAGAGAGGAGAATTTTTGTCTCTAATAGCTCACCATAGCCTTCCTCAGTAGCAATGCATGGATCAACACTGAATGTAAATGTATTATATCTGCTATTATTTAAAGTATTATAAATCTGATAACCAGACTGCTCTTAGTGTATTCCACTTACATCATGAAAACCATTCCTTCAGATCAACTTTAACATCTTTAAAGCTACTCATAATATGAGCACCAAAATCTAATGTGTTTGACACTTTGCAATTGGATGGACTAAATCTGCACATGATCAGTTACCACAGTTTCTACTAATGAGCAGTAACTTGGTAAAGTGTGGTAACTCACTCACTTCCAGCATATGCTTAAATGCCAAGAAAATATTCAGAACTACCCTGATTCTTTTCTAGGTAAGTCTTCCAGACTGCCACCCATCTGCTGCTACCAAAAATACAAACTCAGTGATACATTTGATTAAATGGATTCTGCTGCCACCATTTCATTTGAAGTTTTGGTGAAAACAACAGATAACAGCTTCATACTTCTGTAACGCTCCAGATGGTGATAATTCTTTTCTAAGCATCCCAGGACTGCAGGTAGAAGTATGTTGACAAAACACATCACTGGAATTTTAACACCACTTGACGTGCAAAGTTAAAGCAAGTATTTTTATCTGCTTTCAGTATTTGTTACTGTCATACACTCTTTGTTGGTTGGAAGGCATTTGGCATTGTCTTATATCTAGAAAGAAGACTATCAGTACCACTTTTACACTATAATTGACCTATCAACACCAAAGAATGTTCAGTGAAATCTGAGTATTTTGTTCAAATATGAGCAACATGACCTGCAATTTCCTCTGCCACAAACAACTGGATAATAGGTCATAAATTCTTCTCAAAGCAGTAGCTACCAAAGAGATCTTTGGACTTACATACTGTGCCATCACCTTGGCCTATATTGGGCAATTGCCTGTAGCATACTGACCTGATGAGTTTTTCAAGATTTGATGGATCCTATGAATAATACAGCACAGATGCATGTAAAAATTGATCCAGTTCTACTGAAAACTCAATTTTGAGTTTTGTAATAGCATCTGGAAAAGAACTTGCCATAATATTACAACAGCAGTTTAGTGGTACATTGTACCAGGTTCTGCAGATCTTTGATGAGGTTTTGATTAAACTCTACCTCTCATTTCTGTTGAAACAGATCCACACTCTCAATTTGAAGTCTATTTGAAGTGACCAGCAATGTGGTTTACATTTGAGTTACCCTAACAGGTTTTTGTAACAAAATTAAAAGAAGCAGCATGCAGTGGATGAAGGTCAGATATACTCAATGTTTCTAAAAATGGTCCTTTTGTAAATTAATAGTGTCTTAAGATTCTTACCATTTTATCATTTCAAATAAAATTTACACTTAATTATAGTGAATCGTTCATATTATATTAGGGTAAAGAGTATATTGTTTTCAAATCTTTATTACTTTGGAACTCTTTACAAACAATCTGCTCCGCTCTCTCAATCTGTTGCTGAAGCCTCTTCATGCCAGTAATTGAACATGGTTTTCCAACTCAGAGGCTCTTCTCACTGTCTCTTTTGTGGCAAATTCCTCTAAATGTGAGCACTGCTAACCCTCCCCTACATACACAAATATTCCTAGGCATCTGTTCTGCAGATGACAGCCATTCTTCTTAAAAACTAGAACATACGCAGACTTTGGAAATGTACAGTCTACACTGGAAATGTACCGTACACAGCTCTGCCAAAGCTGGCAGAACCAACAGCAACAGGTTCAACTTTTCCGGTGTCAAACCTGCTATACATAACATCTATTTGTCCAGTATTTCCAATTATCTACAGCCTGGGCTGCCAGATTCTCTCAAATGCAACAGGTCTTTGCCAGAAGTGCTAGGGCAGTAGATCACTTCTCAAACTGGTTGTTTGAACTCCAAAAGCCACAGCTTACCACTCATGTTCCTGGAGCTGGCAGGTCTGAGTGCAGCACGTGTTTCAGTGTTGACAGTCCTTCCAAAAACATTTTACAGGCAGTTGATTTGTTAATGGTTGTGTTGCCCAGATTTGTGTTTTTACAGAACTCACATGCTGTTCTGTTGGCACAGCAGATCCACATGTATGTGAGCCCTAGACCTCTATAGGAGAAGAAAAAAGTTGTTTCAGCCAGAAACTGGTATTGGCCATTGCTTAGCATAAACAAATCCCAATGAGACTGTGCTTATAAGAAAGAGGCATTAATAATGCAAGGCATTGACACCACCAATTTTTCACTGACATTGATGAGTTCTTGAAATTGAGTTTTTCATAAAATAATATGGTTTTCATTGCAACAGGTCAGTTGAATTTTTCTCAAACTCCAGCTGAATTTTCAAACTGAAAGATGAGAAATGTCTTCTAAATAACAAGGGTTTAGGGGCATTTGGCCGAAGAGATGAGGGCTAGAAACTCTACCTCCTCTCTGCTTTTGGCAGATGAGTCATCAGCCACGGATGCTTCCCTTTAGCTTTTCTTAAAAGATACCATTTCAAAAGTTTTCTGATTTGAGATGGAAAATTTTCAGCTTCCAAATTAATTGGGAAGATCTATTAAACCAGAAAAATTGCTTTTGAAGATGATCAAGCCTTTGAAATGGTTGGTTGCATGGCCTTAGACAAGTTGTTTAATTTCTCTCCTACTGTGAAAGTAGAGATAACACAATTGCCTAGCCTATACTGCTACTGTGGATCAGCTGAAGACTCTGGTGTGCTTAGCAAACTTGGAATTTCTAGCAAACTTGGAATGTTCTAGCAATCCTTGAGATCTGGAGCAAGTTTCATAACACCTCTGAGAGGAATGATGTGCGATCACAGACTTGCAGTTTTCGGGGGACAGATTATTTGATTAAAGGAATAAAAGGAGGTTTAAAATATAATTTTGCATGCATCAGGATGTGGTATGATTTTTACAGGCAAGATTGGAAGAAAGTCCTGAAAGAAAGTTGTCTAATGCTATCAGCTCTGCTACACTTTTTCCCAAGACACTCTTTAAAGTAGTTTTACTCAGTCTAAGGAATGTGCAGTCTTTGTAAGCTTTTGCAGTCATTTTGATATAAAATTCAGCTGAATTAGGTATTAATGGGTCAAGACTTAAATCGGATAGTGAGGATATGTCTTTTGTTGTTTTAAATTCATATCACATTTTACTTTATACATATTACACATACACAAAGTAAATTGATTACTCCTTACCCTAATTATCAAGGATGTTTGGCAGTTGAAGGAGAAACCGCAAGGCGATGTTTCTTTGACAAACTAATAGAGGTAGCTGTTGTTCTAAAACACAGTGAAGAGATATAAAATCATATTGCTATAGACAATGGAGAGACCAGTTTTTATCTTTTACAAAATGGTGTTCTCTTGATAAAATGCTTGCCTAAATTTACAAGAAACAACATTAAATTTTAGCTCCATTTTAGAAAAACTGTTTTTGCATCACTCTAATTCTATGGATGTGACTAATCCAGGTAACTTAATTGGGTCTACTCATGTAATTAGAATTATGTGTACTTAAGTGTTGGTGTGATTAGCTTCTTGATGACGCCATGGTGAAATCATGTCCCATTCATCTTGTATCAGATGTATTTTGTAAATTATTTTGATGCTAAATATTGTATATTATGTCAAATTTGAAAAAGGAATTAATAGAAGATTATTGGCTTGTTGCCATCACTGCTAAGACAGTCGCAGAGCACCTTTTAGGGCTATTATAACATGAACTGTGGGAGGCTGATTTTCTCATACAAAACTGACTCATTTTGCTAATAAGAGGGGTTTTATTTTAGAACTATCTCTGTGAAAGTATCCATTTACCTCTTGACACATATCTTATAATAAGATTTTTTTTAAAGTGGAATATAGTATTTCCAATGACTGTTCCAAGCTATACACATGTATATAAAAATATTTTTTTAAGTACTTAAAATAATTTACCTACATTTTCCTCATTTTTTCTCTTATCCCTTAAATGTTTACTCCAAACCGTATTCTAACCCATATACGTAATATACTTTGACACATTCCATATTCCCTTGAGTCTTATAATCAGAATTATTGACATTTTCTCCACCTCAGTGAAACTGATATACTGATACACTGATACTGAGCACACATCTGCAACTCATTCAGGCCATGAGAACAATCCTAGGAATACAAAATTATTCTATAAACAGATAAAAAGAAATTGGCAGTGCAAAATCTATTAATATTCCTTCAGTTCTAAAACTGGAGTGACAGTGTGCTGTGCCCAGTAACAAAAGGAAATGAACCATTTTTTCCCAAAAATAAAATACATGGGGAAAGGTGATGGATAACTATGCATTGCCCAAGTGTGAAATTACCTAATATTAACAGAACAAATACTATACCAAATCATTGGAAAATATTATTCAAAATACAAGTCTATACCACATGCCAACACTCTTTGAAGACAAGGAAAAGGTGCTAACTCCAGCAAAAACTGGTTTAGGACCTAAAATATGTTTTACTATCAAAAAGACAGAACGTGTAAGAGCATTTTCCAGTATTTGGCACTTGTATGCAGTTATTACGAAAAAAAAAACAAAAATGCTACTATGTATTTGTTAACTCAATTTTACCTAAATTAGTCTCATAGTGAAGCATCTCATCCTTCTGCTAAAATTGTACATCCATATCATTGAAATACAGCTAAAGAAGTTTAAATTTCCTCTTGAAAAGGAAGTATGGTCAATGAATAGTGATTTAATTGCTTAAAACAATACATTAAAGAAAATTTGCCATATACAAAATATCGGTTGACATGCATTCCATAAACAATAAAATCAGAGACTTTGTACAAATGAGAAAGAAAAAAACTCATCATAGATGTATGCAAACATCTGTGTAAGCTGATAACTTGATTTTATCATAATTGTATGTACACAATAACCTAGTTTTAAAATTGTATGTGGAATGCTTATCAGGGCCTTTCTATAGCCCTTTGACCATGGAACGGCAAATCCATTGTAAACCATGTTGCCATGGTAAAATACAAACAAAAAACTAAGTAGAAGGTGAACTAATTTGGAGCTTCCAAAGTCAAATATATTTTTTCCTTGAAAATACATAGAATCGAGAATACATAAAAGCTAATACAGAAATTAATTTTACGGTATTATTTCAACCAGTATGTAATTACTACTTATAAGAAGAGGTACGGAATGAAATAGTGTGAACTAATTGATATCCATCTCTTTCACTACTTTCCCACAATGAGCCCCATAAGAGTTCATTATTTGCTTCCTAATTGTCAGACAGTGGGTGGCAAGGACTCTCCACCTTTTTCTCACTTTATTGCTGTTTACTGGGGCACTGCCTAGGAGTAGGAACAGCTAGTTCAAGATGCTATCCTAACTCAGCCCCAGGTGAGGTTAGAATTGCACCCAGAACTAGGTCATAGGAGACAGGTGCCTTTTTCACATTATATACATGAAATTGTATCAGAGCACAGTGGGTCTGTTATTCCATTTAAAACACTAAGAGCCAGGTTCCCTGCTGTAATGAATAATGACTGATGTTGAAAGGTGAAAATGCATACAAATACATTAGGCTATCTACAAGTTTGGCAGTTAAGTTGCTTATTTCGAAGATAAGAGATGTACTTGTCAAAGTTTTTTCCTGACTCATATAGCAAGTATTTAACTTAGTCTTCTCAATAAAAAGCATGATTAATATCTGGACACCTTTCTGACAAAATATAGTGATGTAAGTTGCAAAATATACAGTTTAGGACCTGACATTTGGTTTAGACCTTTAAATTGCCCTGTCAGCAACAGAATGTATATAAAATAGTATCAAAAATATCCTTTAGAAGTTCCTTTAAAATCTTACAATAGGGATGTTATTTTAAAACTTTGCTTACAGAACAGCATGACACAGAAGATTGTGTCTAGCCTGAGAATATGCTCCCAAAAGAATAAAAGAACATGTGCTTAAGTTTCAAACTTAAATAAATTCCCTTCTAGCATTACACTGGGGAAAGGCACTTCATGTGAAAGAGCAATTCCACTCATCATTGTGAAACCCTGCTTACAAGGTTAGAACCTTTGTCATCGCTAAATGTTGAGGGGAAAGTTTTACCTTTAATGATACACTAGATTGGGTATCACAGCAGATGTTATCTCTTCCAGCATGCCCTATTAAAAGATTTCTAGTATTGCTATGGAAATCACTTATAAGTAGAAGATACTGTACATCATTAAATGCACTGAGTGGGCTGTAATGAAAGTTCTACTGAATGAAATGCTACTCTATCATTTTGATAAAGATCAGCATGGATCAATATCACTATCTTTTCAAACCATTTTTATACACACTTTAGTGACATTCAAAGCTACTTTTTGGAAACGGTATTTGTATTCTGTTAAACTTACCTGTAGTCTGTCCACCTAATAACGACCTACTTTTTTCATTTTTAATATTTCCCAGTGGTTCACCAACTGGTGCTTTTTATTATGTGTCATAAGTATCACTTACATTTTCACCACAGGTTGTCAGTACTATTTGTTGGGTAACCCAAGACAGCAGCTGCTAACCTTTTCATTAAAAAATCACAGGCTAACTAGACAGACATCAAATCAGAATAGCAATTATAAACCTTTATGCCCCAATAATTCAAAAATTATAAGAGCTCTTCCTTTAATACTTGTAATTTCAGAGTAGTTGCTGACATCTTAAGGATTTTTCTGTGACATTATATGTGGCAATGCATAATACTTCTTTTCTTCTTTGTCTTTCTGGGTATTAACAAAGCATTAAGAAATAAACTGATCTGGCAACCTGTGAATCATAAGACAGTTATACCAATATCAAGGACATAACAAAGTATTTTCCCAACAATTCACCTTATTTCACAAAAATTATGTCAGAATACCAGTGGACTCATTAGAAAAGAAAAATGTTTTTTGGTTGGTTGGTTGGTTGGTTTTGGTTTTTTTTTCAATTTTTGTTTGTTTGTTGTTTTTGTCTGTTTTTTGTTTTGGTTTGTTTTTTTTTGTTTTGTTTTGTTTGGTTGGTTTGGGTTTTTTTGTTTGGTTGGGTTTTTTTGTTTTTAGTTATGGGGTTTTTTTAATTAGTGTGCTGGTTTAAAGGTAAACCAGCAGGGGAAATGAACCCAACTCAAAAGAGAGATTATAAATCAGAATAACAATTTAATAAAATAATACAATAAATACGATTATACAGACAAACAATTGGTTTTAACCCACAAACCCCAAATGTATAACCCAGCACCCTGGGGCATGAACAGAGTGGTGTTCGTTGGGCCCCCTGAGTCCAAAGTAAAAGGAGAGGGAAAAAAACCTGTTGGTGAGAGTGCTGTTGCTGTCTGGTTGAGAGTGGTGGTCTCAGTCTCTGGATCCTACGAGTGGTTAAAAAAGTCCCAAGACTCCAAGATTATACATATCCTCCAGTTCAGCAGGAATGCCCAGTATCTCCCTCAGGGTGGGGGGTTCCACGATGGGTGTGAGGACAGGAGCATCCTCCTATCTCACAGTTTATAGCCTAAGGAGCCTCTTAACACCCAGTTTATAACCTGAGGAGTCAGGCTGCTCTGGGCAGAGGGTGTAAATGGTCTATTGATAACAGTTTCTGGGAAATGGCATGGAAGGCTATAGAATACACAGTTTTGGGTTACACCCATCCAGTGATGAACTGGTCCCAGCTGTTCTAACTAGGACATTTAGCAATTTTTCTCTTCTCCTCACTACTAAGTACTTTTATTTTTCTCAATACTGTGCTGTTCCAAGGGTCCTTCTTTTCTTCCCATTGCAGACTTTATGATCAGCCTCCCTAGATTCTATATCCCAGAGGATGCATCTTTATCTAACTGAACATACACTTTCTTTTATGTTTTTGCCAATATTTAGGAGGATTGGGATAAGGCAAATTCTGAATACAGATCCCATAATATGTAAGTCGAAGGTCACCTTGGAAACTGCGTATCAAGGTATCTAAAATAAAATTTGGACTGTACATAAAAGTTGTAGTTTGCCCAGAAGAGTCAGGCCTAGAAATCTACTTTTAACAGATGATAACCTGCCTCTGAAAGTTACATGTGTACTCCCTAGTGATACATTTCGTTGAACTGAAACTTATCTCAACACCTAGAAGAAAGGCAAGGGAACAAATACAGAACCATGGATGATTTCAGTGTTTTGCCCCAGGATACGTGATCATTGATTATTCCCACACAAAATCCAGTGCAGTCACCATGGAGCTTGACTGCCCTCCTCACATATCAGAGCTCCAGGGTTCACACTTTAACATCTCCTATTTACCTTATGACTGTGAGCCTCTATCTTCACTATTCCTGGGTAACAGCTCCATTACTGCCTGTACGTTTTCCACCTGGGTAAGTGCCAAAGACCTGCAACCACATATGTGCCCCTCTTCTACAGCTCCCAAAAGAAATCTTGAGTGTGTCAGCCCAGAGCTGGTTGACAGACTGATAGGAAGTTGGCTGCTTACCCTCACTAGCTAATTAAGCACAGCATATCCTAACGTGTGCTAAAAGCAGAAGGATTCTGTATTTGGTGTCAGCAGAGAGAACCTACCCCTTCTGTGACACATGAAGGGGCTCTCAGCATGGAACAGTGAAAGAAAATATTAGTTGCCTGTAAAATTATAATAAAATACTTTCTTTGTGGCAAGCATTTGTGGATTTTAGAATAAAGCATGTAGGAAAGTTCTAGGGCAACTGCATTGCAAAAATAAGAAGGAAGGGTATTTCTGAGAAAAGAGGGTCAAAACTTCATTTGTTATAGTCCTTGTGATTTTGTCAGAGGAACACCACTCACTTTACAGCTACAGAGAGTTGGCCAAAAAATTGCATGTAGACTTCTACAGGGAACAAAAACATAACAAAAAGTTAGTGAATCTCTGGTGAGCTTTAAGTTGGGAAGAAAGAACTGTTTATATGAGGGAGTGTATAATGTTTCAGAGAAGAGCTGAATTCTACCTAGCTGTTCTAAAAAAAACAAAGGAGATTTTTTTTCTTTCCCTTGCATCGCTGTAAAAGAAACATGTTGAATGAGGGAGAGGGAGGGTGTTTGCCTAGGGTGACTGGCACGCACAAAGGCACTAGCTAGCAGATCCACATTCTAGGCTGATAATCTTCAAAAGACTTGGGGGGGAGGAGGTGATGAGTTCTCTTTCCCTCTCCTCCCAAAACAACGGACACTTCACTTTTACCCTGACTAAGGGAGGGGATGTGTGTGTAAAGGCATCTGGCTGTGTCTGGCCCCATTTCGCCTCCGTTCTCCTGTGCCCTGTTCTGCCCCCAGCCCAGACTTGCTCAGATTTCATCGGAGAGGCTTGGCCCTTCTGCGAAGGAACCTTTGGGGGAGTCCCGGCTGGAGCCAGCCACTGACAGCGTGAGTCTGTGCGAAGAAATCGTTTTTCCCCTTCTCCCCTTCCCCTCCTTGGTGTGGGGGAATCTCCATTTCGGCTCCTCCCACACTCCGGGGCCCTCACGAGGCGACTGCCAGAGCCCAACAGCGCCCCCTGCTGGCCAACACAGGGCAACTGCAGGCTCTGCTCCTCCAGTGACCCAACAGCGCCCCCTGCTGGTAGTGGTGAGAATTGCGCCAAAAGGCAGAAAGTGCTGAACTGTTTCCTTTTTGAAGGGGATTTTTGGGTACAGGGTTATTGTTTAGTTGTTTTTGTGTTCTTTTGTTGTTCTTCCAATACGCATATATCCTTTAATAAATGGCTGTGTTATGGTTTACTTTGGCTGAACACCAGGTATCTACTGGGCCTGCACCCAGCTCCCTCTGGAGGAAAGGGGAGGGGAAAGGGGGAAAAGAGGGAAGGAAAAAGAAACTATCAGAGATCAAAACTGCTAAGAAAAATTATCTATATTTACACCAAAATGGAGAACACTATAAGTAATATGAGTACAGAACTAAACCCCTGGTGGCCTAGTGGTTAGCATGCAGGACTCTCACTGCTGTGACCCAGGTTCGATTCCTCGGTCCCCTGGGCAGATGGAACCCGTTAGCCCTGTGAGGCCATCCATCTATGAGAAGGTCACTCTAAACAAACCTACGTCCTGAGGACCTCACTGCCATTGTCCAAGCTTGCTTGGCCCCGGCAGATGAACCTTAGGATTAAAGGGTGGGCTCAGTTCAGCGCAGGCTGTGTCTCACCTAAAAAATCCATTGCGCAGGCTGGAAAGGTAAAAGACCTTTCCCAAAATCTTCGTTCGCGAAGACTGGCCATTATTATTACAGAACTAAAAATAAAGGTACTTCCCCACAACTGACACTCCTCCTCTGAACAGGCTGCCCAAAATGCTCAGCTACCAGAAGAGAAGAGAGCACTGACTTCCTTCCTGTGTCTTTTATATCAGAATTGACATAGCATGGCATGGAATATCTTATTGGCAGAATAAACATCAGATGATCTAACCTATTTCTGTTTCCTTCCCAGGGAGTCTCACTAACCCATCACAGGCTGTTATTTTTTTCTTTCCCCATACTTCCTCGATTGGAGTCTCTTAATTTCAGATTTACAATTGCTTGGAAGGAGGAGCTTGGTCTTCCTTATAATTCATCTTCCTTAGCAAAACACTTCAGTTTCATTAATCTGAGACATTAGCTTTTTTTATTTTTCCTAACATCAGCGCGTGTTTTCTTGCTTTGGGAATGAGGGTAGCAGCTTCACATGGTGGACTGAAATGTTCGCAGAGTCCAGGCATTTTTCTTGTAAATTTAAATCAGAATACCTCTGTCATCTGGCATTCACAAACATGTACCCTGGTGGTAAAAGCTAGTGAGTGGATTTTCCTGTGCCTTAATATAACCAGAGGGAAGTAAGCAGTGGGAATGAAGATTGGAAACACTGAAATAGAGTGTAGACAGATGGAATTCAGACCTAAGCATGATAGAGGCAGCAAGTTATCCCTGTTGCTGAAAGGTTTGAGTGACTTTCAGATAAAGTTTCTAAATTGCTTGTCTGTTCCAAGAGCACCTTTTCTTTGGAGTAATCTGTCCTAAATCCTCTCTGCCTCTTCCACTGGGGACATAATTTCTAATTTGTACTCATTAGAGGGTCCAATGAGCCATATCTGCCCCCAGATTATCCCATAGTTCCCTACCCCTCAGGAATTTTGCATAAATTATGGTTTAAGAAGGGTTTCTATGCATATGGATGTCCAATGGATTCAGGAGAAAAGAGCTTTTGACAGCTCCCCTTACAAGCCCACTGGTCTTGGCTCTGCCATTGCCACTGAGAGCTGTGATGGGATGGCTGTCTTCTCTACCAAATCCCTCTTCAGGTTAATGCTCCACTGGAGCAGACTTGGTTGTATAGGAAAATAAACTAAGAGAAGAAAGATTAATTGAACTGTTTTAATAATATTTGAAGCAGTGATATCTAGAATATGGAGAAATGTGTCGATATTTGCAAGCATTTTAATGCAAACAACTGTGGTAAAGTGTATCTTGTGCTTTAGTTCAACTGTCATTCTTACTCTGTCCATGTACTGATGCACTGGAAACCTTGTCCCCCTTCACTATCCCGAACTCTTTCAACTCATTCCAGTCCTGTCACAACTCACTTTTTCACTCACACATTGCAGATTTCTAGAGCACTTTCTTTCTGAGGAAGCTGCTGAGCACTTTTTGCAGACTTTTCCCCAGATTCTCTGAAAATCTCAGCCTCCTGGACTAGTTCCATCTTTTGAATGCTCATGTCTGGCCCTGGCCCAGACAGAGCACATTTGTCAGCTCAACCAGGACATTAATATTCACATTGTGTCCCATCCCTTACAGCCAGCATTTAAGCCTTGAGAATATTGGAAAGATGCCTCGAAGGATGTGAAAGGATATTATTTCCTTCCTTAAATAGAAAGAAAAAAAATAAATTATATCAGAGCCACCAGCACACTCAATGATTAATTTTTAAAAGCAGAAATCTCTAGGTTAGATTAAGAACTACAACACCAAATATTGCATGTGCAGTTGAGTACATTTAATAGCAATTTTAAGTTACCTGACTCCTAAATTATTTAAAATAGACATTTGTGCTGTTCTAAGCATACACAGACACACATAGACTCATGAATAGTTGTCCTTCATTTCAGAATGACCTGTCATGTTTCTTCTGATGCCTGTCTCTGGACTGATTAAGTTTGATGAATGGATAAATACAAGTTAATCTCCAGGATTTGTCTCTTTGTAAGTTAGACTTATTTTTGGTTTGTTTTTTTTTTAAGTGGAGAAGTCAAAATATTTTCTTCATAATTATAATTCAATTTATATTTGAATTATTTCAAGAAATTCTCACTGTTACATTTAATTCCTTTTCTTGACCCCCTCTTTTCTGTTTGCTTAAAATGAGTGTTTTTTCCTACATGAATATGCTGTAGGAACAGTTGTATGATGCATAATTTGTTTTGGGATGAGGAAACTCACCCACAAAGTATAAAATGAAGCATTAACCTCTTTCAGCCAATATTATCTCTGCTGGTCTCTCTATTTGTTCCACAAACTGAATTTCTAAGATATATATATAACCTTTCATTTTCTGGAATATTTTACAAATATTTTATTATCTTCATTTTCCCCCCTTAAATATAAGTAGCCCGATAAAATTTGCGGTAAAATAATTGAAAATATTTTCATTAACTACATAAGAAATAGATCAACAGACTGCATTTACAACATGCCTCAATGAAATGCTGAGATACTGCTTAATACATTACAGTAGTTGCAAACAAAACTTTTTTCATGTCCATCCACACAATTTTATTATTCTGGAAAATGAGGCAAATTATTCTGAAAGCTAAAAGTAGATTTTCATTTTGCATTCAGATAACTGTAAAGGGTTCAAGTTTGAATTTACTTGTTAAATATTGATAATTAACATTATAAATAAATACGGTGTTAGGGAATGATTCAAGAAATAACTGAAACCTCATAGCCAAGTGTAGGCATTGGAGTCCAACTGTGGTTTAACTTACCTGACTGAGAAGTCAGAAGAACCACTTTCCCTTCTCAGGTCTCCCTCAGATTTCTAACAAGCTTCATCCCTGCTGAAACCAGGATTTATTCCATCCTGAAACTGGTTTTTTCTATGGCATCAAGGAGTCATGCTCCACTGGTCAATGAAAAAAAGGTCTTCACCATGCAAATGCTTTTGAGGTAGAGTTCTACATGCTCTTGACACTATGCTTTTGTCTGAAATATTACACAAATTGGTGCAATATGTTTCAGTCTTTTAGGACAAACATGACTGTTGCTAAAGAAGTAACTCCTTGTTTAGATGGCAATGTGCTTTGCAAAATAAGGGTACCCAGTAATGGCTTCCAGGAGAAATGAAAGGTTCTGTTAACACTACTAGAAGCTAGACTGGATCATGAATCATTAGTAGTGCTTGCTAATTGTGCCCTTTCTTTCATCTAACAAGATAATAAAAATCAGTGACCTGTTAGAGCGTAACAAGAAAGAGCAAAATTCATTTTATGTAAAAAATGGATTGTGCTACAATGCTACAGTCTTAC